CTCCACCCATTAGTTCAAGACTTTAAACCCCCAGAATTCTGCTTACAAGAAACGTATCTAAAGCAGACAGATACTTTTAACTTCCGTCAGTATAATGAATATCATTATTTTTCGATCGATAGGGCCACTGGAGGATCGTCAATCCTTGTTAGACATGATGTTATCCATAGCCCTGTGACACTAAAAACAAATTTCCAAGCAGTTGCAGTGCGAATAACTTTGAACATTACTCTTACTTTATGTTCATTGTACATTCCACCTTCTTCAACTCTTCAGCAGGCTGATATCCACATTCTCTGTGATCAACTACCCAACCCATGCGTACTCATGAGTGATTTAAGTGGGCACAACCCACTCTGGGGTGGTGTGACCACGAACGTTAAGTAAAATTTTGTAGGATTTCATTTCGAATAATGATTTATGTATTTATAATGATGGTTCCAACACATATTTACACCCTAACACAGGAACGTATTCAGCTCTTGGCATGTCCATTACAGACTCAAATTGACGTACTAAATGAATTTGAATGGTCAGTTCAAGATGACCTCTGTGGAAGTGACCATTTACCTATAATACTAAAGCCTGTAGCCCTTCTGATGTTCCTCCATCATCAAGATGGAATTTCAAAAAAGGCTAACTGGCCTTCATATGAAACGCTGTGTGCTGCCAAACTTAAACCGGAAGTATTTATTGGTGTTCCTGATGGTCTAAAGTGTTTTTCCGATGAATTGAATACCAAAGCTGACGAATGTATCCCGAAGTCTTCTGCAATTCCACACAATCGTTTAACGATACCTGCAAATATGCTAGGAAGGAACAGAAAAGGGATGAGCATTATTTCCGTCGACACCCGATGGTTCCTAATTTGAATAAATTAACGATTTTAAATGCTAAAGCGCGGCGAACATTTAAACAAAATAGAAGCCAATCTTGGCGAAACTATGAATCGAAGCTTAACTCACGTACGCCAATGGCAAAGGTATGGAATATGATAAAAAAAATCAAAGGAAAGGGCTCCAAAGCTAGCATTCACCATCTTAAAGACGGAAACCAGATATTAACTCATAACTCTTATATTACTAACAAACTTGATGAAACTTTGGCGAAACACTCTTCCTCATCTAAGTATGTGCCTAACTGCCAAAAGTACCAAAACAGCAAGAGAAGAAAACTATTAATTTCAATTCAGATAATGGGGAAGATTACAACGAGATATTGTCTGTTCATGAGCTCCATACTGCTCTTGAACAAGCTCACGATACTGGTAGAGGAGTTGATAATATACATTATCAACTCTTGAAGCATTTACCAGAATCCTGTATAGAGACAATTTTACATATGTTTGATGATATTTGGACCTTTGGTACATTCCCATCTTCATGGCGTGATGCCATAATTGTCCCCTATTCCTAAACCTGGACCTGGTCATACCGATCCTTCAAATTATAGACCTGTTTCACTTATTAGCTGCGTTTGCATAACCATGGAACGCATGATTAATAATCGTCTCGTTTGGTACTTGGAAACTAACAATCTTCTCTCTGATATCAAAAGTGGTTTCCGTAAAAACCGTAGTACCATTCATCATTTGGTGCGTTTAAAATATTTTGCAAAGAATGCCATAATTAAAGAACAACATGCAGTTTCGATCTTCTCCGATCTGGAAAAGGCATATGATATTACATGGAAACATGGTATTATAAGAGATCTACACGATTTTGGATTGCGAGGCCGTTTACCTCTTTTTATATCTAAGTTTTTAAATGACAGACAATTTCAAGGCTGCATGGGTATCAACACTGGCTGATCATTACAAACAGGACTAGGGTGTCCCACAAGGTAGTATTTTGTCCGTCATATTATTTAGTAAAAAGATAAATAGATTATCAAGTTTGAAACGATTCAATTGATGGAGCATTATTTGTGGATGATTTTAGCATTTCCTGTCGTGGAAAAAACATGCATACTATTGAAAGGCAATTGCAATTGTGTCTGAATAAAATTCACAAATGGTGTCTCAAATTTTCAAAATAAAAAACAAATTGTATCCACTTTTGCCGAAAATCAAAACCTCTCAAAGACCCAAATGTTACATTTTTGCAGTAATTGAACAAAACAAGTCTTTATAAATGCAGTAACGTTCAGATTATAATCCCAGACAAGAACGTAAGTAAAATGCACATATAAAACCACAAATATCACTCAAATACACAACACCCCTTCATGTAAAATAGACTCGCTTTAAGAAAATTGACATCATGGCATTTCCATCAAATTTTGAGTATTTTAAAATGCTTGCAATATAAAACACATATATCATTAAAACCTACACATACAAAAATAGTATTCACCTGAAGAGTGGATCTCTCCGAGCTGTATATCAAGTAATAGCATCGAAAACATCTCTGCGTCATGTTGCCATGTTGTGCCATGTCGTGCCATCATCACCGGAAGCAAGTACCCTGGATCCTTCAGTAATTTCAAACGAAAGGGAGTAATCATTAAAATTTTAAAATATACAAATGACGTTGAATCTATTCAAAACAACTCTCAGGGCCCCACAAATGATGAGAAGAACATACAGTATCATTACTCAGTTGAGTTTTATTCTAAGAGGACACAGCATTTCTGGATTGATCTCTTAAATTCCCCCTTTGTGGTTCTCACTTTGACATTACGAACAATCCCATCATCTCCAGGGTATGTCTCTATAACTATAGCCATTGCCCATTTTCCTGTGGGCCAATTGTAGTCAATGATGAGAACCACATCTCCTGTCTGAAGTTGTCTCTCCTTTGTCTTCCATTTCATCCTCCGTCTGAGGCATGGCAAATACTCTCTGTGGAATCGTTTCCAGAATGACTGAACAAGTGTTTGTGTGAATTCATGTCTCTTCCTCAGAGACGCAGACTCATCAAATGATCCTTGAGGCATATCGCAAGTAGCCTGACCAGTCATAAAATGGTTAGGCGTAAGAGGTCTCAAGTCCTCTGGGCTGCCTGAGGTGTAGCCAAGAGGTCTGGAATTCAGCAAACTCATTATCTCTGAAAACACTGTAGAATCTCGTACTAATCTTGGTCAACTTGAGTACCTCTCACTGTCCATTAATGTCACACGTTAGTCTCTCTTGAAGGGGAAACAAGGTCTAGACACCTTGTTATCCTCAGTGTATTCACTGGTCTGTGTGCCTTTCTGTTTCTTTTCCCTACATCTTGGATTTTCAGACCTCAGCTTAGGTCATTGGCAGGATTTTCTCTCGTTGGCAAGTAAAACCAATGGTTTGGATTCCATTCCGACTGTATCTCACAGACTCTCACTCCAACAAAGGCTTTTCTCTTTGATGATTCTGTCTTCAGCCAATGAAGTACAATTTGTGAAACTGTCCAAAGAAAGACTTGTGGTTTCATCTTCATCTCAGTGTAGATAGTCCTAGCTAATCTCAAGGCCAAGAGCGCAGCCATTAATTCAAGCCTTGGTATGGTCAACTGCTTCAGAGGAGCTACCCTAGATTTGGATGCATCAGTCTTACTTCCGCTGAGTCATCTGAAGTTGGCCATCTGACATGGGCACATGCACCATATGCTTGGCTATTTACATCTGCGAATTGGTGCAGCTCTGGTTCTCCTGCAGCATCCGTAGGCTTTACAGATCTGATGGTATGGACCCCTGACAATCTTTCTAGGTCTTGAAATACCTGTTGCCACTTTTGGCTGACGTCTTCTGGCAACTCATCGTTCCATCCACAGGTCTTCATTTTCCAAATTCCCTGCATGCTAATCTTGGCTCTTATGGTGACAACCCCTGCAAGCCCCAAAGGATCATAGATAGTGGAGATGTAAGACATATACACTCCTTTCTGTGCAAATCTCTGCTGAGAAACCCTGAACTCTGAAGTGGATGGTGTCAGAAGTGCAATTCCACACTACTCCTAGGGTCTTCACACTTGGATCTTCACACAGTGAAACATTAACCTATTCACTCTTGTTAACCCTCACAGCAAAAATAACTTGGTTTCCGGACCCCGGAAACCTAACGGAAACAAAATGGAAACTTACGTTTCAACTAGGTTTCCGGAACGTTTCTCTACATTTCCTTCAAGTTTCCGGAAAACGGAAACTTACAAATTACCCAGAAACCGGCATGGCTCCAGTGCGTTTCCGTTACCCAGTTTCCAGTAAGGGCTCCAGTGCGTTTCCGTTACCCACTTTCCAGTAAGGCTCCAGTGCGTTTCCGTTACCCTTTTTCCTGTAGGGCTCCAGTGCGTTTCCGTAACCCAGATTCCTGTATGGTTCCAGTGCGTTTCCGTTACGCAGATTCCTATGAGGTTCCATTGGGTTTCCCTTATCCTCTACTTTTAGATGGTTTCATATACATTGTATTTACTTAGTTCAATTATGATTCCCTGTGAATTTCGATTCTATTAAACACATTTACCATGTTCCATAAGTTTCAGTAAATCAGAATCTGTATGGCTCCATTTGGTTTCAATCATTAGTATTCAGTGATTACCATATGTCCATATTAAATTATGATTATTCAACTAAATTAACTGTAGGTGAAATGAGTGTATTATATATTTGAATGTATTAGGTCATATATTTTATTCATGATACATTGAAATATAAAATAAACTCATTTCAACTACAGTTACCTCAACACCACATGGACATAGAAATAAATAAATACAAAAATCAGGCATGTCAGTCGATTTCTCTTTATTCATCATAAACATATATATCATATCTATGTTTCAATGTTACAATTAAACATTGACACAAAGCACACAGAGGGACAGAGAGAGAGAGACAGATGTTCTTGTCCTAAACAGGGTGACTACAGGAGATAATTGAATGTACATTTAGACATTCCATCCTATTCCTAAGACCTTTAGGTGGTTGGAAAGAATCTTGTTGGATGGTGTCGCAAGTTCTTCATTTTGCCGCTGGAGCTTCAGACACCACTGGCGATGTCAATTCTAGGGTTAGGACTGCAGCCACCTTCTGTTTTCTTTTCTCTGCCCAGCTAGATTCTTCAGGAGGTGTTGGAGTTTCTGGGGAAAAAAATGAAATTCTTGCACTGCGAAAGTTATGTCCAACATTTATTCTTGAGTGCGGCACTTGTTCTAATTAGATAATGGCACATTACGGTGATGGGTAATGACATGTGATAAGGAAAGTTATTCTATTACAGGTATATAGTGATGTGATAATATGTAGCACATCATGTCAGTGACTCAGAGTGTTTTAAACTGGTGTCAGGAAGTGTATAAACCGGTACAAATTATATTATATTATCCAGTTTCAGGAACTTACAGATCAGATTCTTTTGTTTCTTTTAGCATCTTTCCTGTGTTTTTCTTTCCTGTTATCTGCCGACGTCGATCGCCCGTCTTGCTCCTCCAGGTTATCCAAAAGGTTTCTATTAAGAAAAGCAAATGAATTAATTTTCATTCGTCCAATAATAGATTATTACAATCCGACACAAACATTCATAAGTTTGATTATTATCATGTATCAAACCAAGTAATAAGTAATTGTGGTATATCAACTACATGTATATGCATTACAGCCCGGGCGTGAGAAGTTTTCTATTAACATGACAGACATGATTATGCAGCAAATATGCACTACATAATAGTATGCTATGTCAATTCTACTGCTAGTACTAGATACCTGACAATGAAATAATTAGATGCTAGATTTACCCAATGGTGAACAAGAAACGAATTAATTGTATTTTGTAATACTGACGTCTCTAATCTTATAAAACCCAACATATATCTTGATTATGATGACGAGCAATAATAAAACTTGGGGTAAGTTTTTTTTACCTTAAATAAGTAACTTTTAATCGATTTTCAAGGTACTCCGGGAACTTTTCCATGATTCTTCTCACAATAGCCTAAAACAAAAAGAGACACACATTTGGATCATGAACATATGTCGATTGGTAATATTTTCCACCGGAATATCATGAACTACTGGTTTCATCTATATTTGTTGCCTTGCTGGATACATGTATAACAATTTCTTAAAATATATTTTTATTCCATCAATAACCTAGAAAGGTGAACAAGCCAAGTGTCTTATATAAACGCCGCTCCAGTACACGGTTCCAATATAGCTGGATACATAATTGAAATAGTCCGACAAGAAAAGAATAATACTGAGACAAAATTACACTCAGAAAAATGACTGAAGAATAAATATTTGGTTATGGTGTTGGTTGTGCCCAGCAACAAAATGAGCTGCCGCAGGAAATCAAAATTATATAAACATCAGACTCAACGTACAGGAACACAAGGGTATACTTGTCTTATGGTTATATTTTAACGGAATGTTCAGTTGGTATCAACAATAATGTTGTTTTTTTAACAAATTTCACACCAAAATGCAATGTTCACATTTATAACCGTGGGAGAAATCGAAATGCGAGCGCACAGTTAATGTACGATAAAGGTTCCGGGTCCTACCGAAAACGTTTAATTCGATGCAAACTGACTGCTATGATAAGAAGAAAATAATTAATTTTATCTGAAACCTACCTGCCAATTTCTCTGTCTTGGGTTTCCGTTGAGATCGCTTGAGTTCCCGGATCCTTGTTTCCAAAGCTTCGATTGTCAAGTTTGTTGCCATGTGTCAAGAAAACTATAGCAAGTATACAGACTGCCATTTCTACTACCTTACTCTCATAGACTTACTTGGAAACAACAACGAAGTTTTTTTCCAATCTCGCGCGTGTACGTTTGAACAAAGATGGCGGCATTTCAAACAAAGACTTATGGGTAGTCAATTAGGTTGCTTTTTTCATTTCTATTGTTAACATGCCAATAGTCTGCTTACCCTTCATAAGCTTGGAAAAACACTGATAACTGCAATATGTGTTTATGTAAATTGTTTGTTTTTTACAATGTCCGTCACATCTCGCGACGCCTCATTCATTCCAAATCAAGCGCTTCCGGTTTCGGGACAACAATTTTAGTATGTGGTCTGACTGCAGCACATGCTACCTCGACCGTGACGGACCCAGGGACTGGGCAGCTGTCAACCATGGCAGAATTTCCTCAACCTAAAGAATGAAACAATAAGAACAGTGGATGTATTTCCCGTAATAAAGTACTCCAGCAGTCAGTATAAGCTTTTTTCAGATTTTCCGATGCGTTGATCGTATATGACCGATCCAATTTGATCCTATTTCTGTGTATTTCTTTAAAACTATTACCTGATATTTAATCATATCAAGAACAATGTGATGGTTGATGACCTATTATTTTAAAACCACACAGCGTAGTTCCCTAAGATTCTGTAGGCAATTAATATTGCATGCAATACAACGATTTTACCCGTTTATTTGTCATCATTCACTTGATGGTCATCTAGTGAACTACATGTTATGTAATATATGCATGCAGGAGCAGCAAAAGGAATTATCAGCTGAGTTAAAAAAACAAACACAGATGAAAGGATTAACCGATAACACGCTAATTGATTTATTACTTTTATCTTGCACGACGTCTTTGTCAAAAGGGCCCGTCAAAAGATAGTCTTTATGTTTGTAGAGTTACTAACGTATACTGAAAAGGTTTAGTATTTGTGATGTTTGTAACAACAATAAGGGCGACACACAGGGATTTTCAGGTTGACCGCACTTGGAGAACAATGGACATAATCTGTGATGATAGGCATGCAGGTAACACTAAATTCCCAAGTTGAAAACAAAATAAATTGTACAACGAAGTGATATCCGTAGAAAATACCAGATGTTAGATAATATTTTACATATTCATGACATGGCAACAACAATAAAATCCATTAAAATGACATCTTGAGACAAATTATTTTAATCATCATAATGATAAAACAATTTCATAATACATGTACATAGTACACATCCAGTCTACACTGCAGTTTCATTAAGTATGAAACTGTTTCTGCGAACACAAGTACATTTATTCTTCCTGTTGACAAATCATCAGTGGTATTGTAAAATATATTTATCTTACATGTTGTATTCATTGTCACAGCGGATATTTATAAATTATACCTTTATATCATTGTTGACACGTTTGTGGTTACGTATGTCAGGATGTTTGGTGACTATATCATCGACAGTGGAGACAGCTGAGACTCTACAACATACCCAGGACATCCAAGATGTACCATCCATACATACAGCCTCGTGAAGTCGGAATGAACTTTTACTTTACACATGTAACTGCTGTTTTGCCATAATAAAAGTGATGACCAGTATGGCCAGCAAATTATGTACCAAAATTGATGAGTTGGTGCTTACTCATATCAATCAAAACAAGCTAAGTGAGTTCAATTTCATTGATTTTCATCATGTAAGTGAACAAGGGGTGAGTTCGTGTCACCTATTTCGCTAGGTATTTCAGAAAGCTAATCCCTTAAAACAACATGCACCGTTTTTAAAGAATTGTGACATTATGTAAAAACTTGTCAGGTGTATTATCTTTGGTGTCCAGTGAAACCCGGTCACGTGACATGGAACAGTTTTGGGGGCAGCTGCCGATGAATGGCATATCGTTCCATTATGTGGATACTGATGGATACTTTTCTCGAACAAGGTAATAGCCCATTAGTTTTGTTATAACGTTAGTTGGTTTTAAGTTTGATATCTGTATTTTGTTTTCATTTTTCTTGTAGCATTCAACAAAATTATTCCACAAACAACATTGTTCATGTGAGTTATAAGCCCCCACCTCTCCTCTTCTGACAATCCAGGGGCGTACCCAACAAGATCTCTTAGTTTTTTCAGGTCGTAAACTGATTCCCTTATATTTTAGGTACTCTATGACATATCTAGAAAGCCATTTAATAAATTTATGAGGTTCCAAAGTGCTTATAAATATGATAATGGATCAATAATGATAATGCTATAATTAAAAGGCAAAACGTTCATTGACTTCATTTTCTTTCAATCCCAACATTTTTCACCACTGGCAGATGACGTTAAACTTAAACAAATTTTATATCTATAAGTCTACTGTGTAATTTGTTGAAGCCTGTATTATGTTCTTTATTGGACATTTACGAAATTATTGTCCTTTTTTAGTACAGATATGTGTAATGTGCATAACCACTCCCAGTTAGTTGTGTTAGTATGTATCACTTTGAGAAAAACAAATGAAAAGCCAATGGGTAACTGAAACCTAATGGAGCCTTACCGGTTCTTCAGTAATTTAAAAGTTTAAGGCATCTGTGAGTGTACCTAACAAATCGTTAAGGAGACAAAGTAGAATCTTAAGTTTCCGTAATATGGTTTAACTTTTCCTGAAATTATTCTTCTTTCATGTGACAGTATCTTTTATTTGAATTCTGGTGTACAAAAACACTGAGATCACTAAACTGAAACTTATATACATGGAATACATAGACAGTTTAGCGTAGGTTAATGTCGGTTATATGCTGTATATACTGGTATATATGGAGTAATTTCGTTCGTTCGTTTCATTGACGGTCCCATCAATGATGGTTTCCAGCTGCTTTATGCAATGGAAACTACCAATGATACTTTACTTTAAATTTCCGTTTCTGGAAACTAACTTTGTTGGTTTCCGGTAGTTTCCAGTCGCTGAAACTAACCTTGGAAATTTAAATGTGTGCATTATATAAATTTTTTTTACCTGTCTTCGAAATACAGTAAAATAACTAGTCTTTCACAAATGTACACTAAAAACATATAACCATAAACACTTTAACAGTACAGTATAAAAATGGGCTATTGCTTTTCCTCCCTGCATGGACCCAAGCTGGATACTGTATATAGAAATTATTTTACAAGTGTAACAGTAAATTAATATAGCCCCCCAATGGAACAACACAAAGCTAAGTTTGCCATTTCATCTAAGCTGAAATCAACAGAATTGTTAGTTTCCGGGTACAGAAACCTAGCTGAAACCTACATTACCCAGTATCCAATAGGTTTCCGCAACAACGGAAACTAAGTCATTTTGCTATGAATCTTTCAGCGACCTGAAACTAAATGGAAACTCATAATGACAGTTTCAGTTGTAGAAATCAGACGGAAACCTAGATTTGTTAGTTTCAGTTTTGTAAACTACGCGGAAACTCACATTGTCTGTTTCCGGATGCTGAAACCTAGCGGAAACGTACATTACCCAGTATCCATTAGGTTTCCGCAAAAATGGAAACGAAGTTATTTTTGCTGTGCCTGTGACTGACCAACCATTCCTTGATCTCGAAACTACTCGTACTGGGAACAGTCTCCAAATCTCTCATCTTCACGTCAGCTTCTTCCTCTGAATCGCATGAGTGAAGTAAATCGTCTATGTAACGATCTCTCTCTCGAGAATGTCTGCAGCAGCGGGATAATTATCTCTGTTTTCCTTTGCTATTCTGAGCATCACAAAGCTAGCCGCATCGGGGGAAGCATGATCACCGAATGTGACCCTCAAATCTGGACAAACATCTTGGATATATCCCCTGCAAATGCCCCAAGATTCTCCCTGAATTTTATCAGAACTCCAATCAAGTCACCGATCAAGTTGGGTCCTTTCAAAAGGAGTTAGCTCAAGGACATACCTTGATATTCACAGGCAGGATCGAAGACTATTCTAAGCGGAGTACTTACCTTGTCAGGCCTGCATACAGCAAAGTGAGGCAGATGCTACTCAAGTTCTCTTTTGAGTCCTCGTCTAACTCTTCCTTTATCTCTTCTGCCCATCCTTTGGCTATGTAATCATCCATCACTGTACAGTACTGCTATGCTTTCTCCGGATCACGTGACAAAGACTTCTCCAGAGAGATAAGTTTTTTCTATGCTAATGATCTGTTGTTGGGCAGGTGGCTAGGATCTTCCTCCCATGGTAAGCCTATCATGTACCTCCTGTCCACCTTCTCACGTGT